AATGAGTCAATTATCAATACAAAGTGATCTTACACTCAAATTTTTCTGAATAACAGGATTGACAAAGGGTATCAGCTGGTGCCAGGGAGTGAGGCACTAAATTCTTATCTAAAGTAGAGCTATTCCTCTCTTAACTGCCTAGCTTTCCGGAGTGGGCTCTCATCGAGATTAAGAATGCAAATTAAAATGGAATTCATGTGTCTATGGCTAACCGGTTGAATGATGTTCATATGGGATAATTTTTTAGTACTCCTATAGTACATATTCAATCCACATAAATTAGAAACACATGGACTCACATGGCATTAAAAATGAAGAAGTGGATGAAGCAAACGAAGTTAGATGAGTCATGTATTAATAATTTAAGTGAGTGAAGTAGCAAAAATTTATCTCTTCATAGGCATCATCACTGGCATCATGTAGGTGTAATTAAACAACTCCCCATGAAACCTAGACTTGTGAGGGTAAGGGTGAAAAAAATCCTTGTATGCAGTGTTTCTTTTACATTTTTGCAAAGAGGTTATTTCTTGAATTCAATCCAATGATCTATCGATCACAAAGGAGCAGCTTTGTCACTGCTCCAGCTTCGCCCTTGTCACGTAGGTATAAACAAGAATAGCAAAAGAAAGACAAATCATTTGCCAATTTCCCATTGTACTTTATTGACTTTTCTATATTTAATTTTCTTAAAAGACATTATATATAGGGTAATTTGAATGAATGTATTTGTTTGTACAATGTTTTGCTAGAAAACTTGTTGATTATTCATTTGGGATATCTGATACTATGCTTATTGTCCGTTTGAAATCGGTGATTTCGAAAAGCTGGTGGGAATTTAATACTCCCTTGTTTGGGACACAGAGAGAAACCCGGAGGGAATGATTTCGGAAAGGAAATCAATTAGTTCTATGGCAGAAAATGGCTTTTCCCGTGAAGGAAAAGTTAAGTAGGAGCATGCGATTTTCGTTGTTTTACACATCTGCCCCACACAAGCAAATATTGAAGTCCATCTAAAAACTCGTGGTTTGTTGATATTAGTTCTAGTAATAATTTTTGTTTTCCTATTTTTTTTTTTTTAAAAAAAGTTTTGAAACAATCAACTACAACCACAAGCGAAAGCTCTGGACCGAAAATGGTGGCACGTAATCCAAAGCAAGAGGAACAAAAAAAGCATGGATAATTGAATATCTAATTTGGCCACCTGGCTGGTTTTGCATAACAGATAGAAAAAGTTAAGTAATAAAAGGGAAAAAGGGAACCTTGTCGTTGAGGGAGCAATTGGACTGGACATATGACTCGGCATCGAATTTATCAGACTTGAAGGGATTGAGACCTTCTTCGAGCTTTGGTCCGTTCTCCTTCACACTCACCGTTGTCCCTCTCGACCGAGATGTCTTCCCCGTCGCCATATCCACAAAATTGTGAGATGACACCACCAATCACCAATCACCAATCAGAAAAGTTTAGGGTTGAAATATCAAAATTCAAAAGGTAGATCCACGCACAAATCTAGAAACATGGACGAAATGCACCATGGAAGCTCAACTCTACAACATGTGTGAGCGCGTGCAGCAAATATATATATATATAGAGAGAAAGAGAGAGAGAGGGGGAGAGGGTGAAAGAGAGAAGACGGGTGTTTTGTGTTTCTCTCTCTGATCCCTACGGAAGCGGTGACGGTAAGTAAGACTTATGAGAGAGAATGCCAGCACACCCACGCCTTCCCTCTTCTTACTTTTCTTTTAACTGCTTCTTTTTATTTTTATTTTTGGGTTTTTTTTAAAATACTTTTCGCTCCAACTTCTTCAACTAATAACTTGCTTGTGGAAACAATTTTTTTTTTTTATCCATACATGATGGATCCTTTGCACCAAAAGTGGATACTCAATTTTTAAATTAATATGAAAACAACTTGATGATTATATATTTGATAATTATGTCATCATTGTTTATTTAGTCAGTAATTAATATGAAATTGGTAATCATGGAAATTTTGTACTTTATATATATATATACACGAAAATAAATCATCTCATATCTTATATAATATAATTGTGCAATATAAATTAGTGATTATTTTTTTTCATTCACCTTAATGTTTTTTTTTTTTTTTTACTTTTAATCACCTGAAATTATCTCATGTGCGATAATTGGCACAAGTATGTATAGCTTGCACCACGAGCATCTGGCGATACTCACCATTCTTCTCGTGCTCCCTGCTCTGAGTTTTGACAACTTCTTTCTTGAGCATCATAACAAGTAACAACCTCATCAATGTTCCTGGGAGTTATGAGCTGGAGAGCAATATCAATAGTCTTCCTCCTAATATCAAGATTTGGAGTGAAAAGTGCCCTAAGGACATCCAAGAATTGGGAGATGTAAATGAGTATGAGATTTTAACACTAAACAGATCTGGTGAAATTTCAAGATTTGGAGTGGAAAGCGCCCTGACGACATATGCCGACAAAAAATTAGATATTTTTTCTCCGTGCGATGCACGGGTACTGCACTAATAATTATTAGAGTCACAATCGATAATGTATTAAATTAATCTTTCTAATTTTTGAAACATATACGGTTAGATGGCTCATTCATGGTTTTAAAGTGCATCATAGTAAAACCTTACATCAAATGCATATGTTTCATATGGGAATTGAATCGTGATATTGTCAATGAAAAAAAATTTCCGGAGAATATTAAAATTAAGGGGGACTTTCATTCTGAAAAAGAGAGTATTATAATATATTTATTGAAATTATGGATTGTGTAAAATTTTATACCTTGATTTTTTTTATTGAATTTGTAATTTTTATTAATAAATTTAATATAATTATATTAGGCTTCCTCTGTCATTTTTAAAGAAAAAGAAATACCGAATTCATAAGATTGTTTTTTTTAGTACAAACTAAGATTGTTTTATTATATTTGTAACAGGATAATAGGAGGATAAAGCGCGTCCCTGACTCCTGAGTACCTGAAAACACCATAAACTATGTACCTGAAAACACCATAAACTATGTATATATATTAAAAAAAAACATAAACCGTAACACAGACACACAACATAATCAATATAAGCTATTTCGGGTGTCAAAACGGGTTGACACGATACGAATTTGACACGAATACATCAATACAAACACGACACAAATTTTTATTCGTGTCAAAATCTTCAACACTGACACGACACGAATTTTTTGCGGGTTGATACGACACGACACAAATAACAAGCAAATTAGAGGTCAAAACTGTAATCGACAAAATAAAAATGGATCGAAATTAAAAAAAAATAATAATTTTAAAAAAATTAGAGTCGACACGAACACGAATACATCAACACGAACACGACACGAATTTTTTACGTGTTATTTTTTTCAACACGATACGAAATTTTTTACTGGTCAACCCGAATACGAATTTTTCATGTTGTGTCGCGGATCAATTCGCATGTCAAAACCTATATTGACACCCCTATTCATCATGTCAGAGAATCTAGCTGGCTCTTCGTCCAACTCTTACATTTTATACATATTTTCCCTGCCTTCCACCCATCAAACTGATTGTGAACCTCATGATTTTCTTATTCATCAATCATAAGGAAAATTCCTTTTTTTGAAGTTGAAAAACTAATACTGATGACCTGGCATGTGGCTGTACCATTTTGTAATGTTATTTCCGACATCTTATCTTTGTATGGGAATCAAATTTGCTTTCTCATTTTCTTGTCTGTCTTTTATCTCTTTAATAAATATTTCATTTTACTTTAAAAACAAGATTAATTAAGAACAGCTGAGGTAATTTTACCGCCTATGAGTTTGACCGACCCATTCAATAGGCAGGTAGAGGGTTGCTCAGCTAGGAAGCTCGGTGCTTCCATTTTAAGCATTTGTTTTTTGACAGAAGAGGTTAAAAAACCACATTAGCACTTGTGAAAGCATCATGGCATGTGCTCCCTGATCCCTAGTCCGCAAGTAAGTTCTGTTATTGGATAGGACATTTCACTCTCTCTTAGTAATTTGGTCAAGGGAACCACCTCTCCAATTGGTGATTGCGTAGCTATTAGTTGCAGCATGCATTAGTGCCATTTGGCAGCCAGTAGTTACAAACTATCAGCCAAATGCCATCACCCATAAAAAGAAAAAGAAAAATTTAGTGCTTGCATCTGAAAATATTTGAAAAAAGAAAAAAATTAAATAACAACTAATTAAGTGATATATACTTTTTGTCTGTCACAAAATATGACCAACACTAAATCTTCAATTAGAGCTGGCAAAATGGGCCGAGCCCGCCAGGCCGGCCCGGCCCGCCCGCCAAACGGAGCAGGGCGGGCTGAGTTTTCTAAACCCGCTGCCCGCCCGGGTTGATTTTTTTTTTTTTAATTTTTAATGTAAAATGTTACAGGCTTGGCGGACAGAGATATCTAGCCCACCTTCAATGGCGGGCAGGGGCGGGGCAGGCAGCCCGCTTTGCCACCTCTATCTTCAATGCATCAGTTGCACTAAAGATTTATTCCATAAAAACATTTTGCCAGCTACAACAATTTGACATTCTAACGAACAAAATGACTACTTGGAACAACTAGCAGTTTGACAGCTGTATAACATACTTTTCTGACATATCTTACTTTCCCTTCACGAATTACATCATTGAAATTTGAAAGTTCCTTCAGCATTCAGTATCGAATGAGCTATGGAGAAATTATGCATATATATACACGAGGGACCAATCTTTTAACTTCGCTTACATATTGATGCATCCTTAAATATCATCCAAAGGTCATGTTTACAACCTTGCCTTCATGTATTTGAGAGTGATAATGCATCAAACAAGCATGGTTTAGCCCAGGCTTTGAATCCCCCTTATTACATATTTCAAATAGTGTAAGATTCATTTTAGGAAGGGATATTGTCATTTAACTTACTTTCATAAACTTATGACCCAACTTAACTTAGTTGGGCAGCTTCTCAATTCTCATTTCAGGACCTCCAAGCAGATGAAAGTTACACAACCACTCATCATTTCGTTTAAAATCATATGTTTAAACGTCAATTATTACAAGATTAACCATGCAAATGCAAAATCCAATGCATGTGCCTTATCATGGACAGAAAAAAACAAAGGAGTTAAACATAGAAAACCACAGGAAGGTTCAAAATAACAATCAACTTAGCAGCTCAAAGATTTATGCATCCAAAGCTTCCAACTATTCCGAATCAATGCTCCGGGGTGTCCGAACGAATAGCTGATAAAAAAAAAAACCATTGAACACTTTGATCAGAATACAGCAAATACAAAACTAAATAAACCAGACGTTAACTGCAAATCATTAGGAGTCAACTAACAGAAAACAAAAGGCCATTTACACAAAACAAATATTGTGAACAAGCAACAATATATTATACCTTAAAACAACAAAGTCGAAAGAAACCTCTCCACTAATCCTTAACAAGAGCAACATTTTTAGCTACTAAGTTTGTTGGACAATGTAGAAACTAGCAGTCAATGATGTCATGAGCAATGTAAACAGAATTTGGAACAAAACAAAATTAGTGACAAAAAGACATCAAGATTGCTTATCAATTAAAAAATAAAAATACAAATAGAAGCAGAGATAAAAAGACATAAAAGACCCTAAACAAAGTGAGCCCAATCGAAATTAGCGATGCCCTAATTAAGATAGATCTTAGAGTTTCAGATATTAAAAACAGTTGATTAACTATAATAAGAGGATTGGTGAATAGAAATGAAAATTGAAGAGAAGAGAAGAGAAGAGGCATACTAGGTTTTTGGGGCTTGCCGTCGACCCATTTAGAGAGAGTGAAATGAACCTTCTCGCGAGAGATGGCTTCGGTCTTGTGTGGTTCCTTAAGGCAATTCCTCACCAGATTCGCGCATATGTTCGAATACGTTATGTACGTCATCCCCGCTGCCCTCCAAAACGGCACCGCTCCTCCTCCTACTGCGTTCGACGCCATCTTCTCTCTTCTCTCTTCTCTCTTCTCACTTTCTCTCAATCTCCTCCTATTCTTCTCTCTCCTCTCTTCTCTCTTACCCTACGCATCTGTTATCTCAACTCCACTATGGACTGGACTGGACTGGACTCATTTCACCTTTTGGGCCAGGCCCGCTTTCTTTCCCTTCTCCATTTCATTATTATATATATATATTTTTTCAATTTTCTTTGTTCGGAAGACGAAAAATATTTTCGGTACATCTGATTCATCGAGTGCTTAATACATTTTTTATCATATATGAAAAAAGAGGAGGTTATAGTTATTATTTTTTTTTCTTACTATCTTTTACTACTAAATCTTAACCGTTGATTTTCGTCAATCTAACGGTTGTAATTTATTGGGTCATACTTATTAATTAATTAATAATTTTCAATAAATTATAACTGTAAGATTGACGAAAATTAACGATTAAGATTTAGTAATAAGAGATAATAAAAAAAAGATAATAAATATAATCTCTTCGTCTGACAAAAATAACACATTTATTTCTTTCAATATCCCTTTTTCTCCATTTCAAGAAAGAAAGTACCTATTTTATAAGTATTGAAAATACGCTCGAATTTTATTTTATTGGGATTCGCATTCTATGTATGTTTCCTTTTTCTTTAATTTTATTTTAAATAGAATTCCTAAATTATCACTCTCTAATAAAACTATTAATTTAGTCCATCTACCCACTTAAATTATGAGATATGAGCTTAAGTGACATCATGAAATGAAATTGCCAAAAGAATGGATGTAAATGCTGTTAGATGAGCGTATATATTGTAACTTAAATGTTGTAGCATGTACTATATACTTAAAAGAGAAATGTGAATGCCCGTTCTCCCGTGAGAGGTTTAATTAATGCCTAATGCTGGGTTTAATCTTTTCCTTTCTTTCTTCAAAAGTAAAGTTTTTTTGCCTTTAATTAATGAGAGCATATAGATTATTATAGAATCTCGTTCAATCTGACCCATGGAATAAGTGGAAAGTTAAATTGTTTATTTATAGTAGCAATAAGTCAGTAACTTGTTCACTAATCATAGCCACATGGATTACGTCTTCAACATTTATAGAGTAGAGTAGACTAAGCCATCTTGGTCATTTCAATATTGGGTTTGTTTCCTCCTCATGTCTCCAACTCCAACATAGACAAAAGACAAAGAACCCCACACACACACACACTTACTTCAGAGTAGAAATGGCTTGTACCACGTTACTCGTTCGTAGGATTATAAAATGGCGGATCTGACACAACACAACTGAAATGAGTTTGTCAATCTTTCCTTCTTTTCCCTGTGGTTTCTAAAACTTGTTACTCAGTACTAGTCAAGGGATCTCCTAACTCGTGTGTGTGTGTGTTAAGTGTTTTTGAAAAAGTAGCCTCTTGTAGTTTCTGTTAGTCCAGTAACAAATACAAATGGTTCCAAGCATAGATTTTTCAAAGTGGTGGTGGGTAAAGGACAGTTCAAGTTCAAGTTCAAGGAAAGGAAACCCGGTTGTGGTGACTATGGAGAACCCCAATTACTCTGTGCTTGAAATAGATGCCCCTGACTCTGCATTTCAGCCAGTTGACAAGGACAGAGGTAAAAATGCTAAGCAGTTCACATGGGTTTTGCTTCTCAAAGCTCATAGAGCTGTCGGTTGCCTTGCTTGGCTTGCAAATTCTCTTTGCTCATTGCTTCGTGCCGTTAAGAAAAGATTGTTTTTTGGGCATGTGGAGACTGAAAATTCTGGCAAGGCAAAGTTTCTGTTTCGAGTAATTCTCACGTTCTTGGTGATTGCTTTGGCATTTCTTTCATTTGAACTGGTTGCTCACTTCAAAGGGTGGCACTACTTTCACAACCATAATTTGCACATTCCACAAACTTGGGAGATCACAGGATGGTTTCACACGGCCTATGTTAGGTGGTTGGAGTTCCGGGCATACTATATTGCTCCCACAATTCAATCTCTCTCAATCTTCTGTATACTTCTCTTCATAATTCAGTCTGTGGATCGAATGCTTCTGTGTCTTGGTTGCTTGTGGATCAAATTCAACAAGATTAAGCCCGTGATTAAAGGGGTTCCTCCCAATTCAGATGATTTGGAAGGAGCCAACGATGGATATCCTATGGTACTCGTTCAAATTCCTATGTGCAATGAGAAAGAGGTCACAGTCTTCTCTTATTCCTATGTACTCTACTCAGTAGTACTTACTGCTTTCTATTTTTTTTGGAAAAAGAAGAAGAAGAAATTGTCGGTGCGGTTAACTCAAAACCAATCAATCGTCAAGTGATGATAATTCCCCTCCCCCCTTAAATTTTTCTTCTGTTAGTTTCATCATAAAATTGAATTATAATGTCAAAGGAAGTAATTAGAGTAGTAGTTGACTGCACGATGCCACAGGGACTGGTGTTTTGATTTTAGAGATTATTACTCTTCCTATTAATGATGATGATGACTTTGGCATTAACTGTAGGTATATGAACAATCTATTTCCGCAGTGTGCCAACTTGATTGGCCAAAAGATCGCTTGCTAATTCAAGTTCTGGATGATTCTGATGATGAGGGTATACAGTGGTTAATCAAGGGAGAAGTCTCAAAGTGGAGCCAGAGAGGTGTCAATATCATCTACCGTCATAGGATGTTTAGAACTGGTTACAAAGCTGGAAATCTCAAGTCTGCAATGAACTGTGATTACGTGAAGGATTATGAGTTTGTTGCAATTTTTGATGCTGATTTCCAACCAAATCGAGATTTCCTCAAGCAAACTGTTCCACATTTTAAGGTGGCTAAATTTTTTTGTTTCTTCCTTGTTATTTCATTAATCTATCCATTATTTTCCCATTTTCATTCTTAAGTTTGCTTTGCAGGGAAATCCTGAGCTGGCATTGGTTCAGGCTAGGTGGGCTTTTGTAAACAAGGATGAGAACTTGCTGACACGACTTCAAAATATTAATTTGTGCTTCCACTTTGAGGTTGAACAGCAGGTTAATGGGGTCTTCCTTAACTTCTTTGGTTTTAATGGAACTGCTGGTGTTTGGAGAATAAAAGCACTTGAAGAGTCTGGTGGCTGGCTTGAGCGGACAACTGTAGAAGATATGGATATAGCAGTCCGGGCCCATCTGAATGGTTGGAAATTTATCTTTCTCAATGATGTCAAGGTAACCATTATTTTTTGTTTTTGGGGTCTCAGTCCAAGCTATTGCGCATACTCAGTTACTTTCTATTTTTTTATTTTTTTTGGTATACCGACCCTAATTATCTGTTTGAAGCGAATTTCCCTCTGTTATCCTCATAAGTTCAACTTTTTCAGCCTGTCATGGGATTAATTCCGAGTTAGGATTTAGTCACAGTTAAAAATCTTTTTCTTTTTTCAAAGATGTATTTGATAGGAATCGAACCTAGGTTCTCTCACCACCTACTCAGCCTTCCAACTGAGTTACCCCAGTTGAGTTGGATTAGTTACTTTACATTTTTATATGCCTGCAGCCTACAACGAGAGTTGTAGTATATATTGACTTGTAAAGTTAGGATGAACTTGAATTAGGTGAAGTAATTAAAGACATGTTTCACTAAATCTTGGGATGAAATACCAGTGAAAAAATGTTAATATGTTCAAATTAAGTTCCAGGTAGTCTAAAGAACACATCTTTCAGGTGCTTTGTGAGCTTCCTGAATCTTATGAAGCTTATAGGAAACAACAACATCGATGGCATTCTGGTCCAATGCAACTCTTTCGTTTGTGCCTTCCAGCCATCATAACCTCTAAGGTGAAATTTTGAGTGTTTTCTTTGTGTATTGTGCATGCCACTATTTCGGAGGAGACCACAATTTAAACATGTTCTCATGTCATAATTTTGCAGATTGCATTCTGGAAGAAAGCAAATCTAATATTTCTATTCTTTCTGCTTAGAAAGCTAATCCTCCCGTTCTATTCTTTTACATTATTCTGCATCATTCTTCCTTTGACAATGTTTGTCCCTGAAGCTGAGCTACCTATCTGGGTTATTTGTTATGTTCCTGTATTCATGTCGTTCTTGAACATTCTTCCTGCCCCAAAATCCTTTCCCTTCATTGTTCCTTATCTGCTGTTTGAGAACACAATGTCAGTTACCAAATTCAATGCCATGATATCCGGTTTGTTCCAGTTGGGAAGTTCATATGAATGGATTGTTACCAAAAAAGCAGGTCGATCATCAGAGCCTGACCTATTAGCTGCTGAAGAACGGGAATCAAAGACAATGAGTCTCCAACTTCACAGAGGGACTTCTGATAGTGGACTTTCTGAGCTTAACAAAATAAAGGAATGCCAAGAAACTGTTCCTACACCCCCTCTAAAGAAAATGAACAAGATATATAAGAAAGAGCTTGCCCTTGCATTCTTGCTGCTTACTGCTGCTGTTAGAAGCCTTTTATCTGCACAAGGGATGCACTTTTACTACTTATTATTTCAAGGAGTGTCATTCCTCCTTGTAGGTTTGGATTTAATTGGAGAACAGATGAACTAGAGGATCAGAAAGAATGTCTAAAATAGAAAATTGATTATTATAAAATCAAAATAAATAAAGAAGCCAACCAATAACCAATATGGATTGTTGCAAGACAGTTGGTTTTGGCAGTTATATTTTCAAGGTGCCTGAATATGACTCAGGTAAAATGCTGAAAGCTACCGTGGGTCAAATCATAAATAAGTTTGTTATTCTTTAAGTAAGTGCCTTTATAGAGATTTTTCTGTTTTTTTTTTTTTTCATTTTTCCTGTGTTTACTTGTCTTTTGTCTGTTGTCCACAGTACAGTCATTTTTCTGTAGGATAAGCCAATTCATTTTGTCTCAGCATCACCCTGTCGCTCACATCACTTTTGGTTGATATGTATCCTGTTGAATGACATTGATATGTCACAACTCCCGACAAAAATATGTTCTCTTTGGAGTTGAAGATTTGTATGTGTTTATGGATCCAAATTTCACTTACATCCCGCTAAACGTTAACTTGGAACAATTCATGCTATTATGTTAAGTTAGTTTCTCGTTTTCTGTTGGTTCTGGTAAAAGGTTAACTAAATTTTGTTTATCTTTGTGAATTAAAGCGTTGAAAACTGTTTAGAATGGTGAAAGAAAATATTGTCGGCAGGCAGTGGAGATTGACGACAAAGAAAGCATGGGATTGTATATATGATCATACGGATAGTGATTTGGTTCATTAGTGTGGATTTTGGGCCTTGGATTTGCAAAAGGATGTGAATCGTGCCATTGTCCCACATTGGACCCATTTGTTTTAATTCATGCATAACTAAAGATGAAAGCATACCTCTCATACAAGGCTTGTGGACCTTGCTGCCTCAACAAAGCATTTTCTTTTTTGCTTTTGTCCTAAATCCATCATAGCAAATATACTTCTTTTTTTATAACAATTTACTAAGAGACTTTGGCAAAAATTTCAGACTAATTTAAACAAGCCAATCTTTTCTCTCAATAAAATTTTCAATTGTCCCATTCGTTTACATGATATGGCCTATTTTACCAACAAACAATGAGTATGCTTTTACTTTCATGGAGGGGCAAAAAGAGCACTTTTCCATCTTATCCTTTCTTTGGATGTCAAAAACATATAAGCAAGTGCAGAATGACTTTGCTCCCCCCTCGTTCCCTTTTCATTAAAGATTTGCAAGGCAAATGAACAAATAATAATATATAAAAAACTAGGGAAAAGTGTTTGTAATTTTAAATGACAGAAAGTTATGTCATTTTAAGAGAGATACAGACACAGAAAATTTGAATTTTAAATTAAAAAAAAATCACTCACTTTCTCTCTCTCATGATTTCCGTTTTTCTGTGTCTATCTCTCTCCTAAAATGACAAACACCAAACCCAAAAAACTATTAAAAAGATCTAATTTGACCATTTCTTTTTTAGAATAAAGATTCCTTCTTGATCCAGCTTCAATGCTGTTAAGATTTGCAATTTTTTTTGTTTGTTCCTGGAAAGCTACACGAGACACTTGTTAGTTGTTAGTGCTTCTGCATCATTCAATATTACATATTTCAAAGTGGAAATGTAAATATGACTATTAGGTGAAGGTGTATCCTACCCTGTCAGATAAAGGTTTGTCTTTTAATTAAAACAGTGTATGAGAACGTACTTTGCCTTTGGCCTTCAAACATTTCTTTCATGCCACGCGTCATAGGAAACCAGTGTAAAAATGATTATTCACAGGACATTCAACTACAAGTTAATTGCTCCTTGCATCTTTCTGTTCACATTGTTGCCCGTGTTCACCTTTCTCCCGTGAATCGCAATTATATCTCAAAACATATCATAGTTGAGAGAGTGAGAGAGAAAGAAGGGTCAATGCTTGTGTGCTTTTTTCTACCTAATTGTTGCAAAGTGCAAGCCTCAACCATCTGAAATTCAGAGGATAAGGGAATATCATACAAAACTAGGGAGGATGAATACATAAACAGTGACTTTCACTCACAATGTCTTTTATAGTTAAAGAGTCTAAAATAATACAGACATGTAAAAGCATTCCTTAAAATATTTCTTCTTCATATACACGAAATCATACCATAAAAAATTACAAGCTTTTTCGTTAAGTGCTTAATATTGACCTTTAGCACTTTATTGGCATGTAATAATACCAAAGTGAGGTGCCTAGAGAATTTGTTATGGAGAAGGCTTAAATCTAGCAAGAATGTATTTTAAGAAACTTGTCTTTTTGTGATTGAGGAGTCAGTGGAACATTCAGCAATACCAAACGAACCTCGAATGCAACAGGCCAAAGTTGCCATAACAGTGCAATCCTTAGGACCATTCTTTAAAGGTGACACCAGGCTTGACCCGTATTGCCAAAGCAGTGTCCCTCTCCCTCCAACTCCAACTATCACATTTTAATTGAAATACAATGACTCTTCACCAACAAATCCTACCCAAAAATTGAAGACAACAAAAGGAAAAAGACATCTCACCATACACACTGTTTGCTTGACAGAATCATGTGGATCACGTTTAACACTTGAGCTTTTTTCTTTCTAAATACAATTTATAAAGTAGTCATAAGTTGTGTATCAGCTGAGATTATAACTCATATATTAGCTTATTTCATTTAAAGGCTTAAATGGACTGCAAGGCATACAGAAATAATTGTACTAAGCCTGTAACTACAGTGTTATTGTTGAGGAAATGGAAATGGAAATTGCTTCCATGCAGCATCACATGTGAGGTAGAACAATACTTGTATTTTACGGAAAGAAAACGGTGCTTCAGATTGTTATATCTTTTATAATTCAACCTAAATATTTATTGTCTACAAAGTACAAAATATAAGTTTGAATGAGGATATAAAGCATTGCTATGCTCAGTAAAGGAGCAACCACTTCTCTTTTCACCTTAACTTACTGCCTAACAAGTAACAACTGTTGATCTTTTATGAGAAAAACAAACATCAGAGACAATATTGTGCAACAGCTTATTTTATTCTGACTAATGAACTTGTTTTTAAATACAAAACTGAGCTCATGCGGTTGCTACTAACCAGCTGATTTTGTTGGTCCACAAAATCAGCAACAAACTAACAAAGCAATAATAGTAAAATGCAGTAAACAAACTCCTAAACAAAAGACTAATCAATTTAAAAAACAACTAATTAACTCCTAAAAAATAGGACATCAACAGCAGCCTTGAAACACCAACATTCTCCTCCTGAATCAAGTGCTGCACACTCCTAGCTTCTCCCTGAGAAATTCAAATCGACTAACATGAAATGACTTGGTGAATATATCTGCAATTTGGTTTTCTGAACTGCAGTACATTAGCTTCACTTCTCCAGCCTTCTGCACTTCTCTCAAAAAATAATACTTGATCTTAAAATGCTTTGTTCTTCCATGAAATACTGGATTCTGTGAAATAGCTATAGCAGCTTGATTATCCACAAATACTTCTATGCCTTCTTTTTGCTCCAAATGCAGGTCATCCATCAGCTTCTTCAACCATAATGCTTGGTTTACAGCTGCAGTAGCTGCAATGAACTCAGCTTCTGCAGTTGATTGGGCCACTATTTCCTGCTTCTTTGAACACCAAGAAAAACAAGCTGACCCAAATGTAAAACAATAACCCGAAGTACTTTTCATATCATCCACTGATCCAGCCCAGTCACTGTCAGAATACCCTTGCAACTTAAACTTCTGAATTCTGCAGAATTTGATTCCATATAAAAGAGTACCTTTCAAGTACCTTAACACCCTTTTTGCAGCTACCATATGCAGTTCACTTGGACAATTAAGAAACCTAGACAAGACACTTACGGTAAACATAATGTCTGGCCTAGTTGCAGTGAGATACATAAGGCAGCCAATTAAACTCCTATAAACTCTTTCATCTGCAGATTCCGATTCATCTTTCTTTTGAAACTTTTCCTTTTGACCCATTGGAGTACTTACACTCTTGCACTCCTCCATGTTGAATCTTTTCAGAATCTCCTTCAAGTACTTCTTTTGATAGATAAAAATTTCATTTTCAGTTTGTCTAACCTCCATCCCCAAAAAATATGACATCTCACCAAGATCAGTCATTTCAAACGTTTTCATCATTTCCCTTTTGAATGCAGTAATCTGAGAATTATTACTCCCTGTTACCAGCATATCATCCACGTAAAGAGACACCACCACTAAGTCAGATGCTAACTTCTTGACATATAAAGTGGATTCACTAAGACTTTTTATGAAACCCAAACCCAGCAAGTGCTCATCCATCTTGCTGTACCATGCTCTAGGAGCTTGCTTCAAACCATAGAGAGCTTTTCTCAGCAAATAAACCTTCTCCTCCTGATCTGGTGTGACAAAGCCTTCTGGCTGCTCAACATAAATCTCCTCTTGCAACTCTCCATTCAAAAAAGCAGATTTCACATCTAACTGATACACTTTCCATCCTTGTTGAGCTGCCAAGGCAAGAATCATTCTAATTGTATCTAGTCTTGCAACCGGAGCAAAGGTTTCTGAGAAATCAACTCCCCAAACCTGTGCATATCCCTTCACCACTAACCTGGCTTTATGCTTATTCACTGAGCCATCAGGATTGAGTTTGGTCCTGAAAACCCATTTTACTCCAATCACTTTCCTGTCCTCAGGTCTTTCTATTAGCTCCCATGTCTGATTTTTTTCTATCATAGCCAACTCTTCCTTCATAGCATTCATCCACCTCTGATCACTTTTAGCTTCCTCATAACTTGAAGGTTCCAAAACAGCCACACTACACCTCTGATATATATCAGTCAGAGATCTGGTACCTCTAATTGGATCATCATCTACTAGCTCATCATAATCCAGTGAGACCTCCTTATGCTTTGCTTGTGGCTCATCTGTCCAGTCCCACTGCTCATCTTCTAGGAATTGAACATCCCTGCTATTGATCACCTTCTTTGTCTGTGGTTGATAGATCTTGTAGGCTTTTGACACCAGACTATAGCCAATGAAAATTCCAGGTTCAGCTTTTTCTCCCAGCTTGTCTCTCTTGACCTGTGGAATGTGAGAAAAACACAGACAACCAAACACTTTCAAATTTTTTAGAAATGGCTTGAAACCAAACCAAGCTTCGAAAGGTGTCTTCTTTTCCAGTACCCTTGTAGACAGTCTATTTAACAAAAAAACAGCTGTGTTTGCTGCTTCTGCCCAAAATTCTTTTGGTAGATTCTTCTCATGCAGCAGACACCTAGTCATTTCCATAATGGTTCTATTCTTTCTTTCACTAACTCCATTTTGCTGTGGAGAATAAGGAACAGTAAGTTGATGCTCAATTCCAGCTTCCTCACAGAAAGTGTTAAACCTTTGTGAAGTGTATTCTGTTCCATTATCAGATCTGATGACTTGAATTTTGCAGCCACTTTGAGTCTCAACCCATCTCTTAAACTTCAGAAATATCTCAGCAACTTCTGACTTTTGCTTCATAAAATAAATCCAGCACATTCTAGTATAATCATCAATGAAGATAAGAAAATACCTGCTGCCATTTAGTGAAGGAGTCACGTGAGGACCACAAAGATCTGTATGAATTAGTTGTAGCTTCTTTGTAGCTCTCCAGGTGGATTCTTTGAAAGGAAGTCTTGTCTGTTTGCCCAAAAAACAAGCTTTGCACCTTGTGATCTGCTCCTCCAGGATTGGTAACCCAGTTGCCATTTCATTCTTCTGCATGAATAGTAAGCCTTTGTAATGAAAATGCCCCAACCTTTTGTGCCATATTTCTGAATCACTAGCCTGACACTTGAATGCCGCTTGCTCCTTCTCAAGGGGATTTAGAGAAAAACTCTTCTGTTGCATCTTTATTCTGAACAGCTCCTGACCATTTGAGTCAAAGATCAAACACTTCCCTTCTTCAAATATCACTTTAAATCCCTTTTCTACCAACTGCCCCACACTCAGCAAGTTCTGATCAATATCAGGCACGTACATCACACCAGAAACCAGCTTAGTTCCAGCATAGCTCTCTATTGCTACAGTCCCTTTACCTTTCACTTCTAGATACTCTCCATTTCCAATTCTCACTCTTGACTGCAATGACTTGTCAAGGTCTCTAAATAGCTTTTCATCACTTGTCATGTGGTTTGTGCAACCACTATCAACAAGCCAACTATCACATGGAGCACTAGAGGAGAAACAAGAGGCAGCAAATAATTGATCTGCCTCATGCTGGTCTGCAACATGTGCCTCACCTTGCTGCTGATCTCCTTTTTCTTTGCAGAACCTTTCAATGTGTCCAAGCCTATGACACTTTCTGCACTTCACATCTGGCCTCTTCCAACATCTGAAGTGTGGGTGATTCTGCTTTCCACAATGCTTACATGAGGAATGCCCGCCCCAATTGTTCTTAGAGTTGATTGCATTGTTCTCTCCTGCAGCAGCTTCTGAACCACTACTGTCATCTCCTTTCTTCCATCTTACATTATGCTGTTCTTTAGCCTGCAAAGCTCCTTCTGTACTTCCTTCAAGCCTCATTAACCTTCTCTGCTCTTGTGCTTGCAGAGCACTTAGCAATTCTACCAACTTGATTTGAGACAAATCCTTGGTATTCTCCAAAGATGCAATGGTTGCTTCAAACCTTTCGGGCAAGGAGACAAGAACCTTTTGCACTAGCCTATTATCAGAGAGGTCAGTGCCTAGAGCTCTTGCTTGATTTGCAATATTTACCAACTTATCAGAATACTCCTTAATTGTTTCAGACTCCTTCATCTGCAATCTCTCAAATTGTGTGATTAGATTCAGCCCCTTCATGCTTCTAATCCTCTCATCTCCTTTATACTCATCTTTGAGGAAGTCCCAAATAGCTTGAGCTGATTCACAAGCCATAATTCTGCTGAAAATGGCAGGTGAGACAGCAGCATATAAACAAGACTTTGCCTTTGCTTTTCTTGTTATCCTCTCCTTATGAAACTTGATCTGATTGATGGTTGGATTATCAGGAAGGGGAGCAACTTCATAATCTTGTTCTACAGCTTCCCAAAAATCGCAACCCTCTAGATAGGCTTGCATTCTCACTGCCCATGCTTGATAATTTTCTCCATCGAATATTGGTGGAGCCATTGCTGAAAAACCACTCGATCCTCCCTCCATTAATTTCTCAAGTCACTCACAGCCCCTTAAGATCAAGAAGGCTCTTGATACCAATGTTGATCTTTTATGAGAAAAACAAACATCAGAGACAATATTGTGCAACAGCTTATTTTATTCTGACTAATGAACTTGTTTTTAAATACAAAACTGAGCTCATGCGGTTGCTACTAACCAGCTGATTTTGTTGGTCCACAAAATCAGCAACAAACTAACAAAGCAATAACAGTAAAATGCAGTAAACAAACTCCTAAACAAAAGACTAATCAATTTAAAAAACAACTAATTAACTCCTAAAAAATAGGACATCAACAGCAGCCTTGAAACACCAACAACAACACATCCAATGTGCTATTCTCTCAACTGCCTCTACATTAAGTTTGTCTTTGCAAAAACTGCAAACATTGAGATGGAGTCATATTTCCCTCATATATGCCCTAAAAACTTATCTTCCGCACACCATCACTTAGTATACGCATTGATATGTGCACAACTGTCTTTCAACTTTTCTAGGGGAGGCCAAATAACTTTCTTTACTGATCTTCTTGTAATGATGTGTAATCCTTCACCATCAAAATCTCGCCACATAATTTTCGTGGTATTTGTTCTAACTTATTTCCCTCTTGCCATGCTTGCCCTACTGAAACCCCTGGTCCTAGATGGCGAACATATATAAAAATTTGATCGTTGAAAGGATAAGGATGTTTAACTGCAAAAACAAAAAACAATTAAATATTAAATAAAATTGGGGTATGCAAGGACTTTGAACATTGACATGACCACTCAGCTTGCTCTCTGGTGTATTACAGGATAAGAAACCTATGAAGAGGTACAATATAACTAGACAAGGGTCCCCAATAAAATAATGCCACAAGAATAGACTATGCAGGCATCTATCACGGAGAAGTTTTGGGTTAAATTTTGAACATCTAAAAATCAATATAATTCTTAAAAACTTTACCCATCATTGGCTCCAAAAACATGATAGAGAATTCAGAAAGAAGGTGATCATACGATAATAAGATATAATAGCAATAAGCCTGCTCAGATTTTCCATGAAGATTAGTGTAATTAACCCCAACAGATATAAATAATTTAAATAATATTACATATGAACTTACATACATAAATAATAAGACTAGTCCTTTACGAAAGAAAAAAAAATAGCCTCTACCTTTTTTATTAAAAAAATAAAATAAAAAAATCCCCTACCTGGGCTTGGAAAGCCTAGTGGGAGTTCTTTGATATCATATAGTCCATCACCAAATTCATATGCTAAATCACAAGGCTGCTCAGTTGACATTACTTCCTTAAGTTGTCTCACCGTAAAATACAAAGGACTGAAAGAGTCAGCAAATGCAGCCAAAACTGATCCACCTGGGTGGTTGTGAAATTCATAAAATATGTTAACGGTAAGGACAATCAAATTTAAGCTTGGAACAGTGAACCACAGTGCAGCTATAGGAGCAAAAAAATCCAAGCCAAGCAACACAAACAAATTCTTCAAAGATACTTAACTGAACCACAATAACATCAGCATATCGAAGGAGAAACCAGTATGATTAGACCACCCTATTTATTTAATTTTTCAGACAAGAATAACTGAGTGATCATCTCACAAAATAAAATATTGCAGGAATTTGGACAGATATATGGTAGTATTCAAGTCAACTACAGTTACATTTTCTTTTGCATTTTTTGTTTTTTGTTTTTTTGCCTTCACGGTGCTGTATGTAATTGGACATCAAAGTGACATTCCCGATCAGACAAACAATGGAGATATAAGGAGCAATGTTGTTTAAGATTGAAGGGCATGCTTCAATAAACTGAGTAATTGCATATGGGCATCATCCATGCATTTCTCTGCCAAAAATTAAGAAACTTACCTATAAGTCGTCCATAGGCCTGCCCATCCTTGCAAGAAAATATAACCTTCAAAAGTAACAGAACAGTCAAGCAAATTCTTTAAATATATTGTACAAGAGAAAAATGCGAAAAGGAAATGGCTAGTTTACCTTTCTGAAGTAATTTATCCAGGAAATTGGCAATGGTCCTATTTAACAAAGTTCAATATTGATAAGTTTCTAAAGTAAAAGACAAGCTAAAAGTGAAAAGTGAATACAGACAAAACCATGACAAATATTTTCAACACAAAGCTACAGTGAGGTACAAAACCAGCAGAAGTGTTGGAAGAGGAACCCATGAAAGAAAGCAGGTCTTAAAGGACTATATGATACCAGTAAAGTCAAGTTGGAAAAATATTGGGTATAATGGCTCATGAGCAAGAGAGGGGAAGCCATTTTGACCACTCTAATTCAAGGCTGCATGGTATTAGAAAACAAACTAGCCCATAAATTACTGGTCCTTTCATTTGGACTGCCATTTTGTATTCATCTGTAAAGAACCAAATCAACCCATCGAACAGCTTAAACTTTTGGGTTGAATTGGTTTTCTATATCTCTTAACATCATCCATTATGTTCCCTCTGATGTTTGAACAGAATGGAGTAATAGGAAACAGAGTGCATTCACTATATTTAACTTAACTGTGACTAAATACCAACAACAATAATGAATCAGTTCACTAACCTCCACTTGTTCGGCAGTTATAATATTCAAGCATCACATCATTTTTGTCAGAGTTGGACAACAATGTAGATGCACTTTTCTTTGCTAACTTGGAATTCTCATATCGTGTACCAGCTATCTGCCAAGCCATTGATATATGTCTGCACAAATCTCTCAAAGATATTAATATTCCCACTCTTAGATACGATCATCATAACACTAATTATAGCTTTTGCATATGTTAGCATTTACAAAAAAAAGCGATGAAAAAAGACCTAGGTTTTAACAATAGCAGTAGTCGATGACGCCTTTCCTCAGGAATATCTTCAATTTTTTTCCTGAACATTAAGGTGAAGAGAGTAAGGGAGAGAACTGTTTCTCTAGATTTAAGAACTGCCATAGTTAGAATGACAACATGGCAAAACCAAGAATCTAATTACAACAAACTCCCTCATGGTATGCCGAGTGGATGAATACATATACAACTATACAAAATAAAATGTCAATTTTAAATTAGCAGAGTGGCATTACATCAGTTAAAGTCATATCCACTGCTTAAAGGCCTTCGTATAACTGAATAAAAAGTCATGTTTCCATTATCTATGTGGGGTTTATGTAAGCTATGTAGCTGAGGTAACCTTGCTAGTTATGTTTTTAATTAAGAAAAGTGGCAACCTTGCTAGTAAGTGGTGTTTTATAATGGATCACATGTGCAAGCAATAAGGGCAGATGAAAAGAAAAAGAAAAATAGAAAGGATCCATTTTGTTTAGGTTTAAGCAAAGAAAAGTGACTGACCAGAGATATGCAGCAGGATTATAAGAAGTTGGGTCCAAAGGGATCAATTCCTTAGGAGGATCAAGAAATGTGACCACATCCTGTTCATCCAAGTAACCCCTTTTACCACTTGGGAGAATTTCAAAGGGCTTATCATCCCAAGGCGACACATAAACTTGATAGCTCCGAGAGGCAGCACCACAAGTAGACTCACCAATCCCATTTTTGTTCAATCCCAAACCTACAGGAACAACAAAAAGAATTCAACTTTGGGGGAATAAATTGAAGTAGCACTTTTGGGGTGGTGTCAACTGTCAACGCACTCACTCACCCACCTCTCAACTGTGGAAACCTTTGATGTATTTGACGAGAAAAGGAAGGAGGAGTTGGACGGTAATGGTGCATCTGCTTGCACCAACACCAACACCAACTTGATGCTGGTGATGGAGATGGTGCTGTTGTTGTTGCTGCCTTCATCGGTGCAGGTTGCTGATTCTTGACTAGTACTAAAGAATGGTATGTGTAAGTGTAAGGGGATAAATAAATAAATAAACCAGGTGCTGTATCCCTTAATCACTTGTTTGAAATTTATCGGGTGGTTAAATAAGTTTATCATTATTTACAAAAAAAAAAAAAAAAAAAAAAAAATAAGTTTATCATTTAACATCTTCTGATTTTTTTATAAATTATAGATAATTTTGTTCGGAATAAATTTACTATTAAATTTTTAAATTTTTTCAAAAAATAATATTGAAAAGAATCAAAAAAAATATTCTCACCCACACCTATTTAATTTTTGTGAAACCTATATATATATATATATATATATATATATATATATATATATATATATATAATATTTATTTAAATGTATCGTATAAGTATTTGATTCACGATAAAAATAAATAAATTATTTTATTTTATTTGAATTACATTGATTAGATAATATTCATTTAATTGTCTGATCTTATGTTTTTATTGTAAAAATAAATTTAAGTCAAATATTATTTCATTTTATTTATTTATTTTATTTGATATTGTTATAATATTTTAAAAAAATTAAAATAAGTAATTTATTTAATTAATATGTCTTTCATTTATCTTGAATAATATTTTTAATTTTAAATATATTTTTTACAAACTAAAAAAATTTAAGATGATTTTTAAAATAATTTTCAAATAAATAACTTTAAACATTTTTAAATTTAATCATTAATAATTAATTTTATTTAATAATATCATAATTATATAAAATAAAAGTTAGAAAAAAATAAAAAAAATATTTATAAGTGAAAGTTTGAAATCACAAAAGATTAAATGATAAGTTTATTTAACGACTATAAATGATAAGCTTAAAACCACGAGGATTAAGTGTTAAATGATACTCCATTAAATCATAAATGGCGAAAATGAAGTTTTCTTAATAAATAAATAAATAAAGAGTTCGCTTTTTGTAGATAATTGCTTTATATTGAGCTCAAAACGTCGTTCTGAGGCAAAAATTAAAGTATTTTTATAATTAAAATTTATTTTAAGGTTATAATAGTCTTTTTTATTTTATTTTTTCAATCTAACATCATTTTGGGAGCGAATATATTATCTTTCACTATAAGAACATTAAAGTCATAAATAAAAGCACCAAACGGAGTGTCGTTTAATAAAGATAATAATAAAAAATAAACGACATATTATGGGGGTGCCGGGTGCGTATCGAGTTCTTATCTTGTTGGTTCGGTTCGGGGTCCTTTTCTCTTTGCTTGAACCTTGAAGAGTCCAGTGTAGTCTCTTGTACATCGTCAAAAATAATTCATTGTCGTGTCCTCCTGTCGTGTGTGATCTGAAACAATTAACAAATGCTTCTTCAGACAAGGCATTTTTGTGCACCATGGCCATGTCCCACACCCACAACAAATAGAAAAAGTAAATTGTCTTCCTTTGTTTCATTGGTTACTCCAAAATGCTCGGTTTCGAATTCGACCCATTTGGAATTGAGTAAGAAGCCTTTCCCAGCTGAAGTTTCAAGGACTATAATGGAGTTGGCTCGGGTTGGCACGCTTTCTACCTTGACCCATGACCGTGAGGGTTGGCCTCTCGGTATTGGGGTCCGATTTGCTGTTGACCCGGAAGAAGGAACCCCCTTATTCTTCTTCAATCACACTCTCACCACCAACAACAATAACATCCCTTCTTCCCTTCATGTTCAGGTAATGAGTGAATGAATGTTACCATTGTTGTTGTAGGTTTGTTGGAGTAATTGAATCATTTCTATTCATTAAACGGATTTCTGTTTCTGTTTTATCAGTTTGAACAATCTGGATTGCGCACTCCTCAGTGTACACTTCAAGGAACCTTAACCAAACCACACGATCCAATCGCAACCGAGGTCAGCATTGCTTATATTATATGTTGTGAATCTACACAGCACACATGAACCTAGAATTTTGTGTTAGAGTGATATAATAAAGAAACCATTGATGGGCGGATGTGCAAAATAACCAAAAAATTGAACTGAATCATGAACCGAACCGAACCGTCCTTAAAATAACTGATTTTTAAAAATCAGTTCATGAACCGAACCAGTTTTTAAAGAACCAGTTCATGAACCGAACCGATTTTTAGAACCAATTTAAGAACCGAACCATTTCCAAACCGAACCGAACGGTTTCCGAACCTACCGAACCGAACCGTTTTTAAATCAAACCAAATTGATTTTTATAATTTTATTTTTTAAATTTTTATTTTTTTTTCTTTTCAAAATAGGGTCTACCCGAACCGTTTCCGAACCGAATCGAACCGTTTCCAACCGAACCGAACCACTTCCGAACCGAATCATTTTTGAACCGAACCATTTAAACCAATTCAATTCGATTTTTCAAAAAATTCGGTTCAGTTCGACCCATGCACATCTCTAGACTTAAGATGTTGGGTTGAATTGTTTGCTTTAGATGGTTAGGATCAAACTTGTGAATCGCGTATTCTGATACCATGTAAAGTAACTAATTCAATCCAACAACTTAAATGCCGCTAAGTTAAGGCCGCATCAATGGTTTTTACATTATATCTGTTTGACATTTTGTATTATGTTTATGTTTAACCAAACCAAAACTCTATCATATACAGCGGCTTATTTCTTTGTGGAGTAAGAGGTTTGGAGAAGAAGTTGATCAAGATTTTATATATTTTATTGCTGTAGATCGGGTACTTCACTTGGAAGACTTTCAGGAGGTGGGTTCAGGACACTTGTTTTCTTAGACCCTAGTTGTTGCACTCAGTAGGTTTCTCATTAAGTTTGGTTCTTATATATGTCCATGTGTTCCAGGATGGTGTATGGGTCACCTCTTTAGATTACAAAAATGCTCAACCCGATCCTCTTCGAGACTTTGCTCACAACTTAGTTTCTGAAATTAACACCAATAATATGGAAGACATTACTCGCTTTTGCAATGTCTATGTTGATTTGGATTTCCAGGTTTACACCTCTCTTTTTTTCTTTAAAACTGCATTTTACTCCCATGAATCATATATGGTTTGCCTTTCCCTCTTTTGTCTCTTCCATGCATGCCATCAACACCAACACTTTATTGTTTCTTTACTATCCATTGATTTAAATATTGCACCCCATGCATCTATCGTAGGTTTGATTTATTTGTTCTTGTCCTGTTGTGGTTGTGTTTATGTAACTAACATCTGTACCGAAATCACTTGCTGTATACGTGATCAAATGACATTGCTAAACAGAAAACTAACTGCAATAGATGATTGTGACCACTTAATTAGTTGTGTTAACTTTCAATCTATTTGATTTCCCATTGAAGGTCTCAGAAGCAAAGATCATATGGGTAGATCGCTTGGGCTTCGATATGCGTTTGTCTTCCCCTCACAAAGGTATATTTGAGGTCCGCATTCCTTTCCCTAGAGAAGTCACCGATGAAAAAGGTGTCAAGTCAACATTTAATTGTATGTCACAAATGGCTTGGGAGGTTGAAAGAAACTTCCATCCTCCAGACTTTCAGAAGGTTAAAGAATTGAAGCACGTAAAGTCCTGATGCTTAAGTTGTATTTTTTTGTGTGTAACCACTTATCAATTCTTCAATTTTGTAATTTTTCATGAATATTACGATGTCTGTTGTGTTTGTAAACCGTGATGATTCATTTGGGGGCTTGATGTTGAGATCATCGTAGATGCTAAGCTTGATTTAGTTTTGCACGGTAAGTTTTGACTTTTGTCTAGTCTATTCCAGGCCTCCTGTGTATTGAACTTTCTTTCAAAGGGGTGAGCTGATATGACAGGATATTGAGGTGCCTTTCCTGATCTAAAAAAATATAATAATTAACAAAACTGTTGATACAATGTTTGATGTACTTCTAAGATGTTTTGTGGCAAAAACAAAAAAAATATCCAATGCATGTGGCATATCTACCACTTTGTGTCTAGCATTTTGAGATCAAACTCAGGTTGACTGAAACGAACAGATGTTTACATATGCTCGTACATATAAATATAGTTGCATTTTGTCAACAAGAATGACATACATACACACATACATATGTTGAGTATAAATAAAAACCAAGGTTAATGGTGTCTATTCTCGTATGAGCTAATTGATTCGTGACTAAGGTAAATTCTAAATATATCTTATAAGTAAAGGCCTGCTTGCTAATGCTTTGTATCTTATTATTTTTTCTTTCTTTCTGAATCATATTACTTTAGAGTGCATTTACATTCATTCGGCCAAGAAACAAGGAAAACGAGATACAGAATCATAGAGCAGCTAGAGTCAAGCGAAATTGATTGCTCACTTCTTTTATTTTACTAATCAAGTTTTCCTGTTTGATGCTCCCTTGCTTCCTCAGCTTGGGCTGAAACAGAGACCTAATCCTGTTCTCCAAACTCTGAGCTGTATACTTAATATGCTTGGCAACCTTACCATCATTTTCAATTGACAAACTGTAATTCTTCTCGTAGGCCCTGTAGATAGGTATAATACCTTCCACCAAATGCTTGCATACATTTTCCCTCAAGATCTCATCGGAGATTACCCAATTAGATTGCTTCTTGTACCTTTCATCAAAAGCTAGATTGAAAGCGTTTAGTCTCTTAGCCAAATCTTGGCTAGTCACTATCCCATCGGAGGATGAAAGTATGTCTTTTGGAACTAAAAGAATAGGGAGAAGCTTTCCCCAGCTATTCCCCAAATAAAGTGCTGCATAATAGTCCTTGTATTGTTCATGTGCTCTTAACCAAGAATCTCCCATCATATTCCCAAGCACAGTACCTCTCAAATTGTGGAAATGACAGTGATTATTCATCATAAAAAGGTAGGACAAAGTGATATCTTCATAGGCCTTTGACCAAGCATCCAAATTCACTGCAACTTCCTTAATTATGTTATATATTTGGGTGAAAACAATACCCTCTTCATATGCTTCCTTTCTCCAGCTAAGATGTATTTCCAAAACCTGTGTCAAATGTGGCCTGTATGTATCGTCAAGCAGCTTATTGCAGTAATCAGTTACAAAGCTTACCAGCTTAGGAACGCTGCCGTCTGGGGGAGGAGAACTTGGCCTTTGCAACTTCACCTGTGCTGGAAGTTGCCAGAATATTTCACTGGCACCATTGACAACTTTGTTGACAAGATCCTTTATCAAAGCTCTAATTTCTTCACAAGCTTCCCCACGGAAAAGCTGGTTGAATTTTTGTCTTAGACCATTCAAAACTCTGAATATGTCCAGCAGGTTCAACAACTTGAAGGGTTCATTTTTCCTCTCAGTAACAATCCTTCCAAACCGAATAAAAGAAAGAATTCCTGATTCAAGGGCAATCTTTGCAAAGCACCCCATCCATGCTTCTGGATCAATTTTCTCAAAGACATTAGTAGTGAGCCTGTACTCAATCTCGAGCAGGTGCTTCACAACCAACTCCAAATGGCTGCCCCATTGGTCTATGTAACTCTCTATACCCTGTGCATCTAATTCAGCGGCTGGAAACTCAAGGTAACTCAAATCCAAAGTCTTCAAACTTCTCCGAGCATTAATGCCTCGAACTTCAACATATATAGATTGACACTTGTCTAGCCTTTCATTAGCATTTAACCTCTCAATGATGGCATGCAACTTGCCTGTTAAAGAACCTAGCAATGGTGTGGAAACACTAGCTTGCTGGCCAATGTGTGATGTTAATGAAACCAAAGGAAGAGGCATTGAGTTTGCTATCAGAAGCCTGTGGAACACCATCTCTAGTTTGTCAAAGGAAGCACTGAGAAGGCCTCCATCAAGGCGAGCACGCTTCTCCATGACCTGCAATTCTTGCAATATTCTCAAACACCTCTTCACATTCAATAGGTAAACCTCATTGGTGATTGCTTTGTCTTGTGAGAACTCAAAAACACCCTGCAACCAGCCAATTGCTAACCTGCAATTATCGGTGAGAAGCTTCAGTGCTTCTTCGAGCTTCTTTGTGTTTGTGACGTAAGTGCATAGATCAGAACTGGGGTCTGTCAAGAGAGAATGCTGCAACTGATGAACGGAGTCAAAAACCTTGAGTACTGCAGCAGCAGAACATAGAACACTGTCTATACCTTGGCCAATGTTAACAAATGAACACTTTTGCATTGAGATGAATCTAAGTGAAGCTTGCATGGACAGACATCTCTGGTTAAGAAGCTCCAATCTTGATCCAGACTCATCTAATGCAGAAGCAATAGCGCTTGATGTTTCCAAGCTAGTTGTCAAGAACTTTCTGGCGGCTTCAAGATTCTCCGTGCTTTCCATATCAACCATTTGGCAAATCAAGTGCTACTCTCAGAATGATTACCAATATGGTTTTTAGATTGGATTCAGGTTAACTACATTTACACATGAAGTTTTGTCTGATGAAAAAAAAGAAATGATAACCTTTTGTTGGTTTTTGCTATATCGCCGCACTAACTTTTCTTTCACCAAACTCAACAAACAAAGCAATAAAAGGAGCAAACTTCACTTGCAAAACAAACATCTCAGAAACTTCAACCACCAAGCGGTATAACTTCCTGGAAATTGGGGTACCATATGCACAACTAATTTCTCACCCATTTTTTTATTCCTCTCATCTTCTTGTCCTTTCTTGTTGAACTTGAAGACCAAGACCTGCCTAGTCTTGCTTCAATTACCTCAACAACTTCCCAACCAAGCACATCGAAATTCTCGTTTCCTGATTGATAAAAGGAAACGTACACATAAATGTTCTGTTTAATTGGGCTAAATTTGAGTGAGATTCGAGGAAAAGATAAAATGGGAGGAATTCAACAAAATAGAAAATACAAGAAGTAATTTTGAAAAGAAAATTGATTAGTTTAATTGCAAAATATTAGTCTCCCCAAATAATGGAATGAAAATAAAGAAAATGTTAATTGTCGACTTGTAATTACTATTTGTTATTTTAGACACACTCCTTTGTAATTTTCTTCTAGTAATATTTTATTTCATTTTTTTTAATTGTTTTCAATCAATGAAAATTTTTTAGTCTTCTGTTATAAACAATTTAACCTTGGTTGTCCAAACTGTTATGACCGTCGGAGACGTTATGATCGTTGGAGATGTTATTGTAGTTATTATGTCTTTCATGTTGGCTGTCCAAACAGTTATAGCCGTTATGACTGTTGAAAAAGTAATTGTAGTTATCATGTCTTTCATGTTGGCTGTCCAAACCGTTATAACCGTTATGACCGTTGAAAAAGTAATTATAGTTATCATGTCTTTCATGTTTTCTGAGCCTATAAATAAGTAAGTTTTCTGAGCTTATATATAAAGACATCATTGTAGTACTACAATATAGAACAAGAATATATTTTCTCTATCTCTCTTATCTCCGTATTTTCTCCTAATTATCTATATTTATTTTACAACATTTTCAATGTTTTCTGAAACATAAGTTGGCACTTTTACAATTTTAAACAATTTCTTTTTCATTTATTTCTTCACTTCTTTCACCATATATCTCGAAGATCCAAACCTTCTTCCGCAATATGGAGTTCAGCCACCACTCATACATTTGGCAATCCTTGTAAAAATAAAACATTTAAAAAATAGGGGGAAAAAATTTAGGATGCAGAAAAAAAAAAAAAAAAAAAAGATTGTATTCCTCATGAATTAATAGTAACCAAACAAGTCCGTGTTTTCATTCACTCTCAACTAGTTCCGAAACAATAAGACAAAGCACAACGAAGACATTTCACAAAGGATTGTACGCGAGCAAATTTGTGCTACAATATCTCCATGTTGACGAACCCCCACCTCCTACAGAACTGAAAGCAACAGCCATCTCCGGAACACTTACTTCATTAGAACGAAGCCTATGGTACATTTCTTCCTAGTACCAAGTCACGAATTTCGAGGAATTTAAGAATTTGGTGACTTTCGACGTTCCTATAGTGATCAAGGAGAATAGTGGTAAAATAACTAATGACATAAAGAGTTTTGTGTAGAGAGAGAGAACCTCGAATGTCAAAATAATTTATCAATAACGGCGAAGGCTATGCCTACAATCATTCAGGTAATAACTATAAGTATCATTAAGGGTTATTATCCAAAGACATGAAAATATTTCAAGCCATCCAGAACAAAGTCATTTGATTGATTCTCATATTAATATACGGTGTCCACCCCTATGTATAGAGAAAACTAATAGATGGGTAATAAGGATTTTGCTTAAGAAATATCAAGTAAAGAATACAGACAAAATTGGAAATTCAAAAGAGGAAAAAAATTAATACTAACAACTAGGCTGCAGCCAAACAAAACAGGGCATACACAAGCAGAGGAGCATCAAACAAAACAGGGCATGTGCTCCTATCAAGCGGCTCCCTTCTGTTTCAAAGTTATCTTATCCCCAAGACTGAGGGCAATTCCCTGAGTTTTACTTCTTATTCTGATGTATCCATTCAACTTACCATCTGCTTGTTTTTCAATGCTCACATTCACCAAAGCATCTTCCCCAAAAACACTCTTAGCATAAAGGTTTGCAGCTAGGAAACCACAATCTCCTTCCAATGCCGATCTGAATAAGAGACAATGATAACCAAGTTAATCACATGGCACGGGTCACCATCAAATCAAGATAACATTTTCCATACAAAAAACAGTTAAATGAAATGTCAAAATATTAATGAATCCCACAATTAGTAATACTATTTCCTAGAGTGATGATATATTATTTATTAAAGGAAGTATTTGTCATCTGTGACACACAAAAATAGCCAAGTTTTCCCAATTTGACAGAGCAATGTTAAGATTCAGCTTCATAAGAAGCCGTGCCACCGAGCAGGGATGAAGAAAAAATCAGCATTTGAAAAACTTTTCCTATCGAGCTTGACCATTCATGCAATTGAACTATCAATTGCCACAAACACTATTTGGATAAGCTTAGAAAAAGTGCTTATGATATAACGTTTTTTTAGAGCTTTCTTTTAAAAAAGCATCCAATTTTTTTTAATTAAAATAACACTTTTTTCTTAAAAAAAAAGAAAAACACAAACAAACATGTCTCTAAATCCAGGTAGTAGGTGCTCTGGAACACACAAAATAACTGTCAAAAAGTGTTGGCATGTTTGGGTGTGTTACATGGAATCTCTCGTGTGTAAAATTAGTGTCAGCAATAAGACATGAGCAGAGTTGGCGAACTTACGGTGGAGTCAGGCACTTCATATTTGTAGACTTGATAATGTGGTTCAGAAAGTCCCTCTCATCTTGCAATACGGTATTTACAGCAACCTAAAACACAGAATTAATGTTAATAAAAGAATCAGATCTATCCTCTAGTTTCTTCAGAAACACATTGCCTGAGTACACGTATCCCTGTCACATTTGTGCTGTGATAATTTCCAATGCACATATGTGCCTATTTTGGCATAATACCTGTATTACATCTAATAAAAAAACATATATTATATAGGTGCATCCTAATTAATGGTGTTTTTCTCTGATTCTTTTTAGCTGGACATGGCTTGACCTAAGACAATACAGAGCCATCCTGTGTTGACAGAAAGCCGATACTAGCATTTGCAGAAAACTTCAAAAATTACAGGGACTATAGCTCAAATCTGTGTGATTAAATCACCTCTGGATGAATTGCATGACTCTGATTCTGAGAAGGCCAGATAATGGCAGTTTCTCAGTCAGATGAGGACAGATACAAAATTGGATATTTGCAACTATATGAGAAACCACTCTATTTTTAGCCATTTTGCAAATTATTTTGGGAGCAGCTTCTGAAACTTCCAATGAAGCAATTAAAGAAACCTAAGGGTGATTTTCCTCCTCCATTCTCTTATTCTCCAACTCCTTTTGTTTGGAGTTTAGGGTACTCAGTAACTCAGAAGTTTGTTAATATGCTTTATTGAACTGCTTTTAACATTTTTTGTTTATTTAGGAGATAAGTCTTTCTTATAAATTTGTTAATTTCAGATATAATATTTTATTTTATTTTTCTAAATTGTACTTATGGTATAATTACATTATAGCAAGTTTGTCTTTGAGAAAAGAGCTTAACGGTGTTATAGGAGATACCAGATATTTTTGTTTCAGATATGTTTTTTTACAGCTTGAAGTCATTAATTTTATTAATTGTGACTTCAGATATAATTATGAATTACTAGTATTGTTTGCATGCATAACCATAGTTTTAAAAAAAGTTATTTCATAATTTAATATGCCTTGCCCTATTTCTATCAGTGTGTATTCTAAATTTTATTTATTTATTTTTTGCATATCTGCATATCACATTGTGGGATACAAAACTCGTACCTGTAGCTATTTAACATAATCGATAACCAATACAGCAGACAAAAGAGGTTATAGCTGCTATACAAACTAAGAAACTAATAGAAGATTCAGTATATGGTGCCTAACTCAAATGAAAAGCAAATCCCACCAAAATCTAACTCCTCATTTGCCCCAAAAAAGAGATGTATTAGGAGCAACAACATATAAATTACCTCATTTGTTGTTATCGCTTTTCAGGCTACTTCATATTAATAGGGAACACAAGGGAAAGGCCAAACACTTAACAAAGACAATAACATAACTACTCAGCGTGTTACATATTTGGAGCAGTGACAGGATGAAGGACCAAACTTAGAAACTCGTACAAACAACCCAAATTCCATACCAACAGCCTACTCCCAGCCTCCTAGTCCTAGGGCTTAATCAATCAGCATAATATCAAACTTCAACATAACTACAACAACATTAACATAACAAGCTAAAGTATTAATATAATATACCAAGTTACCACCAACATTAATGCAAAAATAGCATTACCTCAACCATCAAGATACCATCATCAATGCATATATTATAGAATGACAAAAAAACCTTTGAAATCATAAATTTACGAGCATATACATAATAGAAACACCAAGGGCTCATTAAAAGAGCACACATGATAATAAAGTACCAATAAGTTTCCTTTTCCTGCAAATTTTTTTAAAGAAATGGGGTTGATATGGGCAATAAAAGTAGCACCATAATTTTTTTTAGCCTTCAGTTTTAAAAAACACCAAATGAGAGAAAGAGAAGAGAGATATACCTTGTTTTCCCACTCAAACTCAGCCCACATAGTTCTAAAGGCCACATCAGCACAAGATGCTGGAGAGATGTAGTCCATGATATCAATATGGATATCATTCAGAACAATAACTGTTCTCTCAAGAACATTTGAAGATGTCTCATAAACTATGTTACCAAATATAACCCCCGTTTCAGTTGAAGAAACCTTAATGTTGGCCTTAATCTGTTTGCTTGAT